GGAGTGGTCAAGCAGAGGACTGTTAATGCAGTTATCAAATTCTACAAAAGCTCCACTCCCATCCCTGATAGGATGCCACCGGCACTGCAAACCAGGAGAAAACAGGGCAGACACCAAATAATTTTGTTCAAACTCTCTTTCCCTAGGAAATGATGATGATGATCATCCTTGGAATCTAAAAGTCCCTGAAACACAATTTTTAAGCCATCAACTTAACGATATAAATGGCTTTAAGACCACTGATGAAATAAAAACAGCAATGCTTGTTGGTCTTTGTTGAATTCTTTAGGTGCCGGGCACTGTGCTAGGCACCCAATAATCTTATTTCACTGTGTCCTCCAACAATGCTAGGGAGGAGACATACTCATTGCCCTTACTTCACAGGTGAGAGAAAAGCTCAGAGGTCAATTACCTTGCCTAAGGTCGCATAAGCAGCAAGTAACCCTGAGCCCACCTGCTGACCCTTCCCCTTCACCGCCTCTCCGATCTAGGTGTGGCTTTGTTTCCAGGCTAACCTGGGCCTCTGCCTGGAACTATATCATTGTTACCGCCTTTCCGTCCCCTTTCCTGATCATTCCATGACCAGGAATGATAGAAAACACCCTGCTGTCACTCTGAGGCGTGTATACCAAGCACTGTTTGTGAGGCTTAGAAAGGAAGGTCTTCATTTATCAAAAAGGAGAAGCACCAGCTATGAGACATGACCTGGTACTTGCTACCAGACATGGCACGGAAGAGGGGCTACAGCCACATCTCCTGAACTAAAACGAGGTTGAGAGAATAAAAGGAAAGAGTCATTGTGTAATCTGGCCATGTTTTGGCATTTCCTGGTTGCCAACTAACATGATCGTTTCTTCTAAGAAGAAACTAGGTCAATGCCAAAACCTTGGCTGTCGTGCTAACTTACCACTAGATTCAAAGTGATGTTTCCTTAAATGAGAGAACGATAGAAAAGGCAGAAGAGGAGGTAAGAATGATGATGACCTATATACATGTCACTTTAGAATTGCAATTTTCAACAGATGTGCCAGGGCACACTAGTGCGCTGCAAGAATTTTAAAAACATGCTATATCTGACTATTTAGTTGGGGCACTGACGTCTTTTCCCTTAGACTGTCAAATAAAAAAAATGACAACAGCCAACACAACAATAGCCGTCTGGTGTGAACGAATAAAAATTACAATTATATTTTTTGTCAGATTGGCAAAATTTTTTGGTGTGCCACAGAATTTCAGTCATTAGCTTATATGTGCCATGAGATGAAAAAGGTTGAAAATCACTGCTGTAAAAGGAAGACAGACTCTTTAGGATGACGAGGTTACCATTTAACAAATAACAAGGACACCCTGTAAGAGCACGAAGGCTAGAATTAGGTATTCCCCCAAAATAATCTTTTTTCAAATGAGAATGCTAGGTTATACTTTATATTTCTTTTTGTGCAACAAATTTGAGTGTCATAAAAATGGTTAAAAAGTCTTCCTATGGTAGCTTTTTCTAAACTTTTATGAACATCTGCCACATTCATTTGAAGTTTAAAAAATTCTGGCACATATGCAAAGGCATAATAAGGTGCCTATAGCTTTCAAGAAAAAATAACAAGACAGTCAAAAATAAGCCTTTTGCTGAATTGCCAGTAAGAAAACTAGTATGCGGGAGGAGACGAGCCTTCCTGAGCTCCTGCTCCAAAGAGCTCTCCTTTGGCCCCAGGTACAAGCTTCTCCTTCAGTATCACAGCCCATAGTTCCTGGAAGAAATCTCATGGGAAGCATCCCTCTCATCTGAAGGGTATAAGAGAACCACATAAACCCAATCTGAAAGCACAACTCGAGCACTCCAAGTCTGAGCTGAAATCCATGGAAGGAGACTAGAAGACTAAATTCGAGGGCTGGTAGTTCATGGGTGCCTAACACACCCAGGAAATGCTACTTTGTTCAGGCAGTGTCTTAGCGGGCTTCAAGCGTGGGGTGACTATTTTTCTTTTTCTTTTAGTGCTGACAACATAGGAGTTCAGCATGGAATACTCCTTTCCTACATTAGCTAATTGATAGGGCTAAGATTTAACTTGGCCAGTGCTTCCTGTATGTTCTCACTCAAAGCCTTTCAAAGGCTGAGCAGAGTCGACCTGCACCCATTCACCTAAGTGCAAAACTGTCTCAAGTTTTAGCTTAAAGATTTGAGCATATTTTGTGTTGCATGTTTTACTAACAAAAGGTCTTGTTTCAAATTATTTACAATCATATAAAAGTAAAAAAAATTTACTCTGTCCATCTTTCCTTACGGTGCTGGGTCCTTTGAAAACGGTGGTGCCTGCTGGAAGGCTCTAAATGCGCTCTGAAGCCCGGCTCCCCAAGCACTCACCAAACCCCTCTTTCCAGAGAGCGCCTGCTTGGGCCATGCTAGGTGCTGAGGACACCAAGGCAAATGAAGCGCAATCCTTGTTCCTGAAGAACTCATGCTCCAAGGGATGGTGGAGAGGGACATATACTATCACCCATTGCAAGGGGTGCAGTATGTGAAAGCCAACGACACAATGGGAGGGTTTCTTAGAAGAGCTGGAGAAGGGCAAGCCTCCACCGTGCAGACGGCGGGGGGGTGGGGTGGGGTGGGGACGTGGGCACGGTTAGAGATCAGTGAGCACGCCGGCTCACGAGCAACAGTGAGGACAGAAGGCTTGGTAGCAGCGAAGAGACTGAGAACTCGGGGCAGTGCAGAGGGAAACTGGAAGACAGGCCACTAAAGGCAGAGTGACCCAGGAGAGGTCAACTCATTAAATGCCAGGACTACGAACTGAGTTTTATATTCACTTTCTTACCTCCAGGACCTAGCAAAATGTGTGGAACATAAAAGGCCTTCATTTTGCTTAGCAAACAAATGAATAAAGGCACTATAAGAATCCAAGAAAAGTGAAGAAAAATGTTAATAAAGGTAGTAAGGAAGGAACAGGGCGAGAGATGTATCAGAGACGTGGTGACTATTTAGAAAGAAGGAACAAGGAAGAGGAGCACTCAGCCATGCTCAGTGTGTCCCACTTCGGTGACTCCACAGGCAGCGGTGCCATTCGCAGGGACTGGGAACACTGGAAGGGAGTGAAGTAGCTTGATGTGTCTGTGTGTTGGGGGAACACTGAGTCTGAGACATCTGTAGTATTTGTAGGTGAAGTTCAATTGGCATTTGAAATGCACGGACCTGTGTTCAGAGAGAGGCATGCGACTGTTAGAATCGCAGCTGAGAGGGACTGGCATTATTACCTTGGTAGCTGAAATAAAAAGCCTTCAACAAGGTGACTAAGGGGCACATACAGAAGAAAAACAGGGCAAGACAAGAAACTTGGCCAATGCTGAAGGTAAAGGGACATGAAAAGGAATCTGGAAAAGCCTTGCTACAACAGTCTGGTGGGCAGGAGGAGAGACAGAAAGGAGCTATGGACTCCAAGAGACCAAATGGTCTTTGGATTAGTGTTTCATACTCTATAATAATTGGCACCAAAGGCCTATTAGAAAGTGTTCAATTTAAATTTTTCACACGGGAGTTTTGAATACACCCCCAAACTTGACAAACAAAGGTAAAACACAGAAGAAATCTCTTCAATCTCATCTAAATACACTATCCGAGATAGTCCATAAACTGTGTGCTGTATGTGTTCAGGGCTGGGTGATGACAAGGAGGAACTGTTAACAGAATGCAGGAGCCACATGGCCGTCCTGTCAAATTAGAAATTTGAGCAGATTTCTGTGGTCTATTTTGATCAAGATTCTCAATGTCAAACAAACAGGTTTTTCGATAACCAACTTGTTTCATTTTCGTAAGCACAATAGCACAGTGTGCAACAGTTAGCGAAGAAGCAGGTGGTCCTCGTCGACGTGAAATGAAGGGAACAGAAGAAGAGAAGTAGCACTTCCTTTAAGACATGCAAAGCATCATCACAGACGGATATGGCTTTAGATTTTCCCTCTGAGAGCTTAGCTCCTGTGCAAAGCAGGCAAGCCCCCCAACTCCCACCCTGTTTTTCTCTGGTACAAATTTAAGCCCTCTCCTGAGGAGGGAAGAGCTTAGGGTTCAGATCTACAAACCAATGGCACTTTAAAAAGCACAAATAAATCCTTTAAAAGAATTGCTATCTAATTGGTACAGACACACAGAAAGCAATCTGGCATCAGATTCATAGCTTTGACCAAGCATTTCTACATTAGGGATTTTAGCTAAGGAGCTAAGTAAAAATGCAGATAAAACCTTATGCATAAAGATGTTCACTGAAATGCTATTTATATTACCATTTCATCCATCCCTGAGTGAAAAATTATAAACAATCTAAGTGTCCTACGATAGCAGAAAAATGGCTAAGTTATGATATATCTGAACAGTGGAATGACAGGTAGCAAACTAAAAATTTTTCTTACTGAGAGTAAATAAAAATGTATAGAAATCCCCATGCTATAATATTAAGTGACATATAAAAACATAAAGTTATATATAAAACACATTAATTATATAAACTTATACAAAATATATATTCATAAATTAAAAGTAAGAGGAAAATAAAATACTAACTAGCTGAATTTAGAATGGTATTGTGGATAATTTTAATTTTCCTCTTTATAGTTTTATATACTTTTTATACCACATTTTCTATAATAAAATGTGTAATACTGTTCTAGTGGTTTAGAATAAACATCATTTTGAAAAGCAAATCATTTCCCTTCCTCGTTGAAATCCTTGAAGACCTTTTTCCTCCTGCCTCTTTGAACTTCACTCCCTCACCCATGAAAACTGACAATCTGCAAGCAAAGAGGAAAAACACTGGAATCCAGGGCCCGGTGGAAAGGGTTAAGCTGAGTGCTCAGCTCTGTGCACCTGGGGGGGAGGGCCCTGTGCACGAGGTGCTGCTTCCACGCGCTCCCACACGGAGAGCTGTGAATCCACAGATCACGTCTTTTCCATTGCCACAGAGCAAAACAAAACGGCAAGTAGAGAGATCTGGGGAGGAAAGGAGCCAACTTACCTCCATTAAACTTAAATGGATTCCTATGAGGTAGGGCATGGGAGCACTGTGAAGAGAAACAGAGACACACAGCCACTTTAATGTCTGTTGCTTCTGACAGAAAATTACAGATGGTTCACTATTTGGAGAAAAACTGTTTTAATAAACGTATGCACAGTTACATTTCCTTTCACAACAAAAATCCTAATGTGACATTTTGTTCCCAAGCCTAGAAACGTCAGAAGAATTTCAAACTGCAGGCGGCACTGGAAGCCGCCAGGGGGGTGGGAAGACAACCGACACTGGCGTTAGTCCCTAAATGGCAGCTAGGCAGCGGCATGGCCTCAGCTGCCTTATCTTTAAAATGGGATCTTGGAAGCAAACTGGTAGGCGGCTATCAGAGTGAAAGAAATACACATCGAGTGATTAGTACAGATCCTGGTACAGATGGGAACTATTATTGCCACAATTACAACAGAAAAAGCAGTTAACAAGGTTGAATGGAAAATGACTTTTTATTTGCTGTTTCCTTCTGCCATCGAGAGATGTGATCTCGCTGTCCACTCTGATTCGACAAAGCAACGTGGAGAGCTACCAGCACACATGCCATCCGATGCCACCACTAAAGCCCCTTCCAACTACTTCATTCACAGGGTAACGGGTTCCTACGCTGGTGACTGAGCAGGAGATGAGAACCCAACTCCAAAGGTTTGAAAAGTTGGGCATTATGGATTGACTTCTGGTTTCAGAACTCCATGTACCTGTGTGTACACACACACATTATCATTTATGACATTACTTACCGATGATAAATGTGCTGGGTATTATATGAGCAAGTTCAAATTCATCTTTCCTAATCCACACAACAAGCACACAACAGAGGTGTTATCCCCATTTTACAGAGAAGATAGGCAATGCCACAGAACAAAGTAAATGACAAACCTAGAAAGTGACTTCAAAGTTTCTTCCTCTGTGCCATACAAACTTTGCACTTCTGAACCTAAAAGCCCCAGGCCTACCTCATACACAGCCTTTCTCCTGGGGATAGGAGATGGAGGTCAAGGAGGAGAGAAGAAGGGAGCGATTGGCAGCTTTTCTATATGTCTTCCCAGTGTGTGATACATCCTGTGAAATGTGCTGAAGGGTATTTTATGAGCCTGGAGGAAAGACCCCTGGCTCAGGCTGAGGCGACCAGGCACCTCTTCTCTGGGCCAGCTTGGGGAGTGGGAGTAAACTTACGGGATGGCTTTCTTGGAGATGAGGTTGGGGAAACAAGGAGTGGGATGAAATGAGAAAGGAAAGGTTTGCTTCCAAATAACACTAAGGGGTTTAGGCTTTTATCCTGAAAGCAATGGACAGGCAATGAAGGTTTTTAAACATCAGATGTACATTTTAAAATTGCTCAAACATTTAAAAATAAGAAAGGGCACAATTCCCTCATTACCATTCGACAAATAAAATTCTTCAAGCAAAAATCATTCCCCAGAATATAAAATGTCCTCCTTACTACAGATCTCAGCAGTAATATATCTTGGGAGCATGTTTGAATATTAGCAGCACAGTTTGGGAACTATTCTTCTAGAAGACTTTTGTATTTGACAATAGCCAAAGAAAGAATTATACACACAACTGCAGTGAAAGTGGAGTTGTCTTATTTCTTTCTTCTTCTTCTTCTTCCCTCTTTTAAAAAAAGGTATCTGCTGTGCACATTCAGCTTCTCTTCGCTTCCAGGGGCAAGGAAATGCCCTACGATATTTTTTTCACTTAAACTGTAAACCATTAGTTTTGCTGCCAGCTACACAAATGCTCAAACTTCCCAGTGTGCCTGGCTATGCTATCCAAGTTTTTTCCAGTGTACACTGAAATGAATGTGTTTCTAATTAAGAGGCTTCAGGAAAACGACAGCTTCAATGTCAAAAATACAAAGTCTGAACCCTGGCAGGAAGTCTTAAGACTACAAATGTCTCATCTAGTGGAACCTTGCCTAATATAATGAAAGGAAGCAGGAAGAGTGCAGAATTCCAAAAAAATGGACACTTATTAATGTATCCAGAAGCACAGCTTAACACACAAGAGGGAGAAAAACTCAAATCCATAACATTTAACCAAATCTTATCAACTTTTCCAGTTCCTACACTGAACAGTGCAACTGACCAATGACCCTGAGTTTTAATTAGCATTTCAGCACTGAAATCCAAAAAAATGAATTAACGCACAAAGACATTCCAACAATTGTGAGAAAAAGGTGAAAATATCTATAGCTAAAGCCTCTATATAATTGAATACAAACACAGGCTCTTATATGAAAAAGAAATATTTTCTAGAATTTTAAATATGTAGGTTTTAATGCCAAGCCCTTTTTGTCCTGCAACAAAAATCAATGATATCCTGAAAGAGAGGAAGAGGAGTTTTACAGAAATGACGGCAAGAGAGGACAAAGTGGAACTCACTCTTCAGTATCGTTAGGTAGGCCTTTTTTGAAGCCCAATAATTTTCCAAAGAGTAATTATGGCCTATCACAGAAATGTAGTTTCTTAGCCAAGTATTGTTAGGGCTGCTACAGCTCTGTATTTAGAAAATATTTAAAACACATTTATTCTGAAATCACAGCAGCTCTATGTTTTATATGAATGCAAATTTAGACAAATACCTTTTACACTGTTATTTGCTTACAAAGCCTTAAATACTTCCCTGAATCTACTGCATTTTTGCTCTACATATACTAATTATAAATTCCAAGAGGGAAGAAGGGGGGAAGAAAAGAAACCCGGAATTTCCTTAACATCTCAATGCAGCAAATATGTAACTGGGTAATTCTAGGTGTGTTCTGAAAACAATTTCTATTCTCATTATACAATACCTCAATAGTCATTACTGCTACTGCTCGCTTTCTTTCTAAACCTGTTTTCTATGGCTTTTTATTGTAAAGAGAAAATTTTCTAGGGAAAAAAAAAATCACCCATGATCATGTCATCTTAATACAACTGCTTTTAGTTGTGTATTATTCTCCTCCAATACTGGCTGACATTAACAAACATTTTTATATTTATGAAATTACAGAGTGCATATATTTTATTGTTTTCTCTTTGGCTTCAGTAATATCCTTATATTTTATTATAATCTTGTGATTATTTTAAAAACTATGTAATATTCCACAAAGTATGGATGTACCATAATTTAGTGAACCCTAGTCCTAGAATTAAACATTTAGTCACGTCCACTTTTTCATTATAAGTTATACTTAGTGAAAACAAACAACTTCATGTGCATGAGTTCCCAAACATGGAATTAGTAAATCAAAGGGCAAGACTGTTACATCTTTTGTTATATCGTGGCAAAGTGTTTTCAAGAAAGGAAGTACTTGCTCCAGTGGAAATCTTTCAGGATTGTTGCAGGGATTAGAGACAACCTATAAAGCGCCTGGCACAGGAGCAGCACATGGTAGGCTCTGACTGCTGCCATGTCCAAATGGGTTCTCTTTGAGCCCCTGGCAGGGCTGACACTTCTGGATCCATTCTCTGACCACCAAAGAATGGTTTCCTGTTCCTGCCCCAGTTCTGATGGACGCCTGGCAAACCTTGGTGAGGCTGGTCGAGGCGCCACGATCCACCTGGGGTGCAGGACCTGCATCCTCTCTCCACGTGGGTTTCTCACTCCACGTGCACTCTCCTGTTACCTACTTCCTGAGTTCAGTAGGGTTGCTTATCACTTACTTCAGAGGGCAATCTCTACTCTCGATTGTATGTACCACCAAGAAGGCAAAAACTACCAAGTAAACTATAATTTGTTTCTTTCTTATCATATGGAATGACAAATATTAAAAAAACATTTATCACACTTGGGCATACATTAAAAGGGAAATATAAAAAACGGATGGGTTAAGCTATTCTTAAAGATGCCCTTCGCATTCAGAGTCTGCCTCGCTTGAAGCATTTTCTGATTCGGAGTCATCAAGGTCCATTTTCTCCAAGGGTCTCAGAATCAAAACATAATAAAACTTCATCTGCTAGAAACGGTCTTCCTTACTTAGGTTCCAGAAAGAACTTGTTGCTGCTTTACAGGAAAACAGGAATGCAAATATCTGTTTCACTAATAGCAAAAATACACCATGGTTCTCTGCTCTGATATCTTTCAGCATGCACAGCGACTGCATTTCAATGCAGAATCTGGGTGCAATTTTGCAGACATTTTAAATGGCCATTAGACACAACATGTGCAGAACCAACAACGCACATCATTAAATTAGGGTGGTGATGATATTAACAGCTATGACCAAGTCCATGCATAGGCAGGTCTTGACAGCTGTGTCACAACTGCCCTATGGCTAACGGCGATTGTGGGATACCATTGTACATCTCTGAATAGCAGAATAGAGTATAACTGTACTAGGCCTTTGTTCTCTGAGAATTATTGCACTGACTCCATCAGTTACATCCTGGAAGAGTAAAAACTATTCTTTCTCCCTTCTCCCCTGCAAAGAAAAGCGATTCTGTTTCTGGTGTCAAGGCAGTGACAATATAATGACCTTGACCTGAAACGTATGTTCAGTTAGAATTCTCTTAAGGGGAGAAGGAACTAATATTTATTGAACTGCTATAACCCAACTGCTTCAATGCATTACTCAAGGCAACTCTGCGATGTAGCATTATTTCCCACATTTTCAGAATGGGAAACAGGTTCAGAAAGGTAAAGTAACTTGCCCAAGGTCACAGCGCTAGTAAATAGCACAGCCACGTTCAAACTCAGGGCTGTGGGTCTGAAAGCAAGTGCTGTGACCATGGTGCCCCATGGTGCATACTCAGTATTTCAGCCAAAAGGAAGGAAGGAGTACTGGTATACCAGAGGGTCCACTCACCAATCCTCTTACCAATTTTAGGCCTGGGATGTAACCACTTCTCTTCCAGGTAAGTCCTTTAGCATGAGCTCATTCCTAGGAATGGTCAGGCATAAATATGGATGCTGCAGGCTTATTAATGGCCTGGTCGTCCCCATTCATTATTACTGCACTTTCACAAATTAATTCCTTTCCCCCTGATAATTTGAGCCCTCTTAATTATTTTCCCTTGA